CCTGCGTCTACCCAGTAGAGCAGCTCCCCACCATGAGGAGTGAGCTTTTAGGGAAAAGCACAGGAAAGCAAAACACTGACACGAAGACACCAGAGTCAAGACTGTAACCATCTCAAAGTCCGGCCCCCCATCGGGGAGCCAGGGTAGTCACACTGGCACCCCGTAAATCTTGATTCTCCGCTACTCTGCGTGGTGTGGCTGAAGGAAAATTCCCAGGGGCTTGGGGTAGCCAGTCCAGTGTCTTTCAACGTGGTCCCAGCTGCCTCCTCCTGGGTGTCCCCTCCCCTCAACCAGCCGCTGGCATCTGCCAGGACAGCCCCAAGCCTGCGGCTGCGAGCTCGGGATTTACAGAGACCCCCGGCCACACGCACCCTCCCTTTGTGCTTATACATTTAAACTGCAGTTTCTCCAAATAAGCACTTTATTTTTTCCTCCTTTTTCCAGAGCCCCGGGCATTTCCGCAAGCACAGAGGGGACGCCTCGGCCGGGCACGAGTGGGGGCCGCCGCGCTGGCCGTCTTGGGGGAGATGCTTGCGCGCACGCGCCCAGTTACCTTGGAGTCCGTCTTTCTCAGGGAAGCTCCTGCGTCCACCAGAAGCTGGCACACGGCCCGGTTCCGCTGGCAGGCAGCCTTGTGCAGTGCGGTCTCACCCCTAAATCAGAGATGAAATGGGAAACCAGCCACAGAGGGGCTGGGGCGGGAGCGGAGCGCGGACCTCGCGGCTGATGCTCTGGGCTCCGGGGCCTCTTTCCTGTCCGGGTGGGGTGAGGGCTGCGGGGCACAGTCAGGCCGTGGGTGAGGGTGTCTAGAAATCCCTCGAGTTAGTCACCCACTCACCAGAGCATCTGACGCCAGCCTCTTTCCTAAACAGTGTTGGCTGGCTGGACTGTGTGGTCAGATTTAGACTACTGATGTCGGTTCAGGTGACATCAGAGGAGGCGCTGCTACGTGGGTTTCAATGCTGGGGAGCAATTCTGCCCATGTGGACATCCAGTTAGAGCCTGAGGGGATCTTGAGGAAGAATGCCGGGGAGCACTGAGCACCCACCCAAGCACTCCCCCCTCACTCCCTCATGCGCATACAGGGTGCTCCATAGACCACCCTCTGGCCTATGGGGATCTCCTGGCCACACCCACGCTGCCCCACCCCCAGATTCCTTGTGAGTAGCAGGTGGGAGGGGACGGGATATTCAGGAGCAGGGGAGCACTTAGACAGCAGGAGCCAGCGCTGTCCCCAATCCAGAGCGGGCCTGAGGCCAGCACCCAGCAGGGCGGCCAGGGGAAGCGGCCATTGTCCCGTCTCTAACAGGCAGCTCAAGGAGAAGGAAATTCCCATCCTCGGTCCAAAATTGACAAGACGCTTAACACCAGAGCATTTCCTAGATAACCCAAGGCAGGGGGAAAGCAGATGCATCCCTGCCTTGCCGGAGGGTGTGTAGGTGCCTGGACAAGCTCCACAGAGCGTGTAGACTCTGGGGAGGCCCTGCCTGTCCAGAGCTCCTGGCTATGCCCCTCCGTCACTCTGGTCTCAGGCACCTTCCCCTCCAGTCCTACTTAGTGCTCCCCACCCACCCTGCTCCGTCCCATCCCCTTGAGAGTCAGGTGTTTGGCCTTTCTTCGTCCTATTTGGGGAGGATTAGCTGCTTTGCCGCTCCAGGAATAAGAAAGTTAAACTGGTGTGCTCAGTTCTGGGGGGCGGGGGGTACCCCCAGGGAACGCCTCTGTCTTCCACCAGTGCTCCCCTTCTGAACCGTGACATGGCAGTGGCTGCCCGAGGTCCTTATGCTTCATTTTCTCACAGCCCCGCTTGAGGAGGAGCTGACGTGATGGATGACAGTAAAGGGAAGTGAATTTATTTAGGTGTCTCAGCTGTGCAAGAAGCACCACTGTGGAGACGTCACCAGTAGGGAGCGCTCAATGCTGACGGCCATGCCTGCGCATGCCGCTGCAGGACCCTGGGTGCCAATGTTAACTGCATGATTTTTGATTTAGAAGATGAGGCCTGTGCGGAGAGAAATACGAGAGTGGGCTTTGTATTACTGACATCAAAATCGCCCAGCGTGTGCTCGCCTAGGTTCTGAGGACAATAACAGAAGGAGCCCGACACTCACGTTTCGCTGTCTGCCATATCCACCAGCTCGGAAGGTCCTACACGGGAGGAAAAGCAGGTGGCCGTCAAAAATAAGCTTAAAATTAGCATAAATATTAAAACGTAGAGTCACAGAATTGAATTGCAGTAGAAAGCTGAGTCACGGTCATTTGGTGAAATGACCACAAACCAGCAGTACCAGGGAAAAACAAAAGGGAAACATTCTCGGGGTCTGCTAATCCTAAGCGGCCTGTTTGGCGACATCTTGTTACCCTCAGTTCTGAACTCCTAAGCCAGGTCAGAACGGCCCAGTCACTTAGACAGGAGCCAACCCTATAAGGTGCCTATGAGGTGTGTCTCATGAGGGTTGACCGGGAATGCCCGGGGGGTCCCAGAGCTGATCAGTGGACGCCTTGGTGATAAGACAAACTCTGGCTGGGGTCTCCCGCTGGGTGTCAACACTGAGTCAAGCGCAGGTGAGAAGCGCCTGGGGGCAGACCACGGCCCCATGCTATAGCTGACAGAGCTCGTAGTCTAGCTCCCCTCTCCCGTTCTCGTCCTCCTTCCCCTCACAGCTGATGCGGTGTGATTGTTCTATCAACACAAAGGCCCCGATCTTGCTCTTCAGCAGTGTCCAGCACTGTGCAGCCCGCCCCACGGCTCCTGTTTCTTTGTCAGTGTGGTGCTGCCCACACAATTCCCCACAATGTCCTGGGAACTTTTTCAGTTGTCACCAGCCAACAGGTAGAGAATGGAAGACACACAAGACGAATGTGGTTTCTGCCTACAGAAAACTTTCTTGCAAGTTGAAGAAAGAAAATCAATTACAATCAAGTTAACTGAGAACTGATTTAAGTGGACCCTAGGTGGTGGGGGGTGGGGGTGGAGGGAGGACAGTGAGGTGGGCTTGGCTTGTTTATCTTCCAGCAACCGGCACTTGGGCGGGGGCCCATGGAGTATAATGTCAGAGCCACAAGAACGCAGCCATACCTGTCAGTCGCATCGCCTTAATTTTAGAACCCGGGTAAAATTCTATTTTTCGTAACATTTCCCTTGCAAGACCAGATGTTATGCATAACATCAGAGGCCTCAATGCCTGACTAAGAAAGGCAATGCTCTGAGTGGTGCATTCGCACTGGTTTAGTTGTTCACTAATTAATTTAGTCAGTCTGCACAGAGCACTTGCAATGTCCACCATCCCCCTGCCTTCTGCACCTGTTCTCGGGGCCTCCCTGCCGCCCCTGGCCTGGTCCTCCTGCACGTGACTCGGACGCATTTCTCCACAGGCCCCCTGCACTCCGGAGGCCGCATTCAACGCCTTGCTTGTGTGCTTCCTCGCTTGGTACCATGACCCTCGGTGACTGGCTCATCATCCAAACGGAGGCAGCCCACAAGGGGGGAACACGGTCACCTTATTTATCATGACACCTGTTCAGTCATATCATAATCACCTGCTGGCCTGCAACTAGACTCTGAGACACTCTTGCAGTTTGCTCTGGGCCTTGTTCACTCCATGGCCTTGCTTGACGTTTGCCACAGTAGCCCGGGGCTGAGAAACGCTTACACGTTCACTTGAGTTAGAGAATAAATTCAGTGGCGGTACCAAATGTGGTTCTAGCTAACGTGTATTTTGGTTGTTAGAAAAATGATCCTGGTCATGTTGGTGGATATCATTGTGGTGGAAAATGCACTTGTGTGAGTACATATGACGAGGTTAGGGCTTTCTAACCACAGTGGCCATTCACTGGTCAAGGAGATGACCAGTGATGTCATGGGACCCTTACAATCCTGGTCACTCAAGAGCCAACTCTCCCATTTTCCTGGTCATTAAAACCAGGGAAATTGTCTCTCCTATTAAACAAACAGGCTTCCTCCTACCGGATCTCTGCTGGGACTATAAGGAGCATGAAGAAACTAAGAAAAATATCTCATCTAGATTCCTGAGTCACCACATTCGCTGCCTGCTTCCAAATATTTCAGCTGTGCTTCCCAGACTCTCCCTTGCAACAGCCCTTTCTCACTGGTCCCACTGTCTCTTCCTAGAAGCTAAACTGCACAATAACCTGAAGATTTCTCACCATCTCCCAGCCCCGCGAGCTTGTTCCCTCCTCACACCACGCAGCCCTCTTTGTCTGGCCACAGCCCCACCATGCAGGGTCCCCCAAGGACTCCTTTGGCGGAAGAAACCCCTCTCGTCCTGGAGTGCAGGTAGCACTTATCTGGTTCTGTCCTCCTGCCACGTACTTGCTTTTCAGAGTTATGCCTTGTTTCTCTAAAAAATTATTTGAAGCCCCTGGGGCGAGAACACTTTTGATTTTCACAGTGCTGTAGTATGTATCAGAAATTACGATTCCACAAAGATTGAATTCATTCACGTTTGTTCCTCAGTCTTATGGGACACGAATGAACCCCACCTCCCACACACACACCCCCTCTAAAAAGTGGAAAGCAGCACTGTTCGGTGATTAGCAGTGAGGCTTCTAAGGCTGACATCCCTGGGTTCAATGCCACCCCTCAACCTGCCCCTGACTAGACCCTGGGCAGGTTCGTTTAATCTTTGTCTCTACCCGCATGTGGTAAATTTAGGATTAATAAAGATACTTATGTCCCAGGGTGGTTGTGAGATTTTACAAGTCAGTACCATGTGTTTGAGGCAGTGGCTGGTACAGGATATACAGTGTCTAAGCTCAGTCACCATGTGCCATCTGGTATCACTGAGTGGCTGTTCTCGGACGTGACACAGTGGGCCACGCTCAAGTCCAGTGTGAACGTCAGTGAAGGAAGGAGGAGCCAAAGGGCCACGCTGCTCCCACTCGCAGCCGATGCCACGTGCTCTCCACAGATCTTTCAAATGGCTCCAGCAAACCTTGCGAGTCATTTGATGTAAAAGGCATTCCACAGCATGAGCAGCCCAGCCTCACGGTGGCCCTGTCCCCATCCTTGGGCCAACCGAGTGGACACTGGAGGCTCCTGGGGTGATTGCAGCCCTCCAGGCCGTGGGGAGAGTGAGGTGAGGTGAATCTGCACTAACCCAGAGACTGTCTGAACTCTGGACTTGGGGACCAGGAAGAAAAGGACCCTGTTCCTCAGAATTTCTGACGAGAATTTCTGTAGCCGCAGCCAGCCCTGGAGGCCCCAGAGTGGCGGTCTGCGAGCTGGGCATGCTTGCGCCTGCTCACCAGCGCCTCTGGCTTCTAACCCTCGGCAGCTGACAGAGGCGAGGACAGCACTTCGTTAGTCTCTTAAGAAAATCCTGTTGAAGGTTTTGGGAATGCTCTGGAAGGATGGGTGATTAGCTCCAACGTTTCATATCCTCACACACAGCAGAATACTTCAAGCACTGGTCAGTGACTAGGCCTCGAAGAAGGAAGGGAGGCAGCTGGCTAGTGACAGGTGGGAGTGGGGAACGATTCTGAACCACTACAGGTACATTTTCTAATCATTTAAAAAACATTTTTTATTGACTCATATGAGCACTCAAGAGCTGGGATATAGGCCAAAGGTGTGGCGGATGAGGGAGGGCTGAAAAGATTCACCAGAGACAGAAGAGGCAGATCTACTGAAACACACTGCTGAGGGGAGCAGCAGGGAGACAAGAGAAGTCTGCTGCGCCATGTGTGTCACTCCCTCGCCGGGGATCGAACTTGAGCTACAGTGGCTGTGGACCACTTCATAGTGCTGAGACTTAACCCCTTGCACCACCAGGGAGAGCCCATTTTTTTTTTTTTTTTTTAACAATCTTTATACCTGCTCAAAACACCTCTGTTGGCATCAGGCCAGGAGGGGCCTGCAGATGACAAAGCATGGTGAATGCCAGGTATCGAGGGCAAGTCTTCCTCTCTTCCCTTCCTGTGCCCTCCACAAGCACAGAACTACTGGAAGCAGCTCTTAGTGTGTGTGCTGCTTAGTGGTACTGGAGCATGTTTAGGAAGGAGGAATCAGATAAATAAAAATAGCCACAAAGACCACAAAACTCCTGAAAGAGAAAAAGTGTAAGAAAATGGCATTTATAGTTTTTGGAAAGTCAATCTGAGTCTCACTTATACGGGAGAGAACAGAAGAAAGATAAAGAAAATAGACGGAATTCCTTCCCCCGTCAGTGGGCAATCAATGGCTTGGGGGTGGGTAGTTTACATGTAGCTATATCCCCTGCCACCTCCTGGAAGGAACTGGAAGGAATACCATCATCCCGTCAGCAGAGACTTTGGAGTGTTCCTTACATATCCAAAGAAGTCTTGACTCTGATCTTTTTTTTTTTTTTTTAAAGATTTATTTATTTGTGCATACAGAGCTGGGGTACAGGTCAGAGGCTCAGGGGCGGTGAGAGGCTTCACCAGAGACAGAGTGGGGAGCAGAACAGGCAGATGGACGAAGTACACTGCTGAGGGGAGCAGCGGGCGGGTCAGGAGAGGTCTGGCTCGCCACGTGGTCTCCTCCGGGGCAGGCGGCAGGCGGGAATCGAACTCATGCGGAAGTGGCTTCAGATTCTCAGTGCTGCGCTTTAACCCGCTGCGCCACCAGGGAGGGCCTTGACTCTGATCTTTTAAGGCTTTACTAAAATATCTACTCCAGGCTGTCACTGATCACAACCGTGAAAGCAGAACACAACTGTTACATCCCGACTGCAGGAGCTGGGTGTAAGTTTCTCTGTGAAACTTAACTGAGATGGTGACCAGGCTCTCCCCAGCCCTGTGCCAGTGGTCAATGAATCCAGCAGAAGGCACTAGAACTGCCCTGCACCATGGTTAACTGTCCACACGCTGTTCTCTCACTGGGATTTAGGAATATATAGGGCAGAAACCATGTCTGATAACACACGTGAGTTGTGACTAGCAACTTCCGTTTGCTTCACTTTTCTGTCCCCTGCCAAACAGAGATAAGCAAACTTAGCGGGCCTGGCGTGTAGAAAGTGTGTTAACACGGGCCCTTCCTGGTGGTGCAGTGGGTTAAAGCACAGCACTGAGAAGCTTAAGCTACTTCTGTGTGAGTTCAATTCCCGCCTGCCCTGGAAGTGACCACATGGCGCGGCAGACCTCTCCTGACCCGCCCACTGCTCCCC